GTATCAGAGCACAATACCAGGTAGCTGCTTGTGAACTGGAAGTCATGTTTATTTCTACAGATGATCAGTTAGAGGATGTATTTACTAAACCCGCTACTAGACAGATGCTAGACCGCTTCAGAACCAATCTGAATCTTGTATGTAGTTCAGATTGAGGGGGCATGTAAAATATAGGGTTTAGTATATTGTACTTGTACACGTATTTGTATACGTATGTAACTGTATTGTCATCATCTATATATTGAGACGTGAGGCTGGATGTCAACCACCCACGCAAAACCCTAAACCCTGTGTTTAACTCAAGGATGGAGAGGACATGCCACAACGTGCAGCGCTTATCCACCTTTAAGATAAGCGGGTAGTTTGAAGCCATGCTGTATCTTTTTCTTGTCCGAAATCCGAACAGAGGATACATATTTTCTGGAAGGGGACGAAGCCGACGAGCCGGAACTGCACGAGTGGGAGGGGCTTGGTAGGAATTCGGTGGGGAGGAGAGAGGGGAGAGGAAAATGAAGATGGCTTTCCGCACGGGCACGATGACATATTGGAGAAATGTCGCAAAAAAAAATAGCCACAGTGTATCAGCAAAGGGATTTCGGAACACAAGAATTTCTTTTGGCTCGGGATACCAGATTGCGATCATCTAGTCGGCACCGCATCTAGGGATGTTGCCCAGAAATTTCTCATTTCAATTCTACGTGGGGCACATGTGCACAGCAAGTAGACAAGAAGAAAACAGGAGCCACAATAATAGGGCGAACGGATTTTGAAAGGAGGTCGCTGGTGTATTGCTGTCCAAGCAGAATTATCGCATCAGTACAAAGACTTATCTTAGGCGGACGCTATGGCAAGAAATCACTCGTCTCACAGCCACCGGTTGGTGGATAAGCCATACAGGTGCCTCCTCCACCGGCTACCTGAGCAAGAGCCAAGAGATCGAGCGTTGTAAGAACATCTTGAACAAGCTAGTGAAGAAGCCGGACATCATCTTGCCGGAGATGGCCGGGACGGTGGTGAGCATGGCGACGTCCATGCTGAGGGGCGCCATTAGCATGGCCGCCTCTGCCGCTGCGACCGAGATGAGTCTTCTCATGGGCGTCCGCAAGGACATCTGGTATGTACTGTATGTACTTCTTGCTTCCCGGACGGTGCTTCTTTTGTTCAGGTCCTTTACTGGCCGATGAGATGCACATGTATGCATCATGCATCCATGCATGTAGCATAGGATGGGCCGCTAGTTTCCTTTTTTACAACAACTTGATTGGCTGTATATAACTATTCTATCAAAAATACTTGGTGCTTTTCAATCTACTGTTGTATGCTATATTTGAGCTGTCAAATGACAGTAGGCTGGGTTGCTCTAAGAAATCTTGTTGGCTAGGTTCATAAAAGACGAGCTCAAGACGATGCAAGCATTCCTAGTGGCTGCTGAGAAAACGAAGAACAAAGACTTGCTACTGAAGGTGTGGGCAGAGCAAGTAAGAGATCTAGCATATGGCATCGAGGATTGCCTTGATGAGTTTATGGTGCATGTGGGAAGCCAGAGCCGGTCTCGACGGCTGCTTAAGCTGAAAGACCGCCATCGGATTGCCAGCCAAATCGGTGATCTCAAAGCAAGAGTAGAAGAGGTGAGCAATAGGAACACACGCTATAACTTGATCGCCGTAGATTCCTCCAGCTGCATTGACGAGGTGAATTCCTACACGGAAGATATTCGCAGCCACTCAGCTAGCAACATTGATGAGGGAGTGCTTGTGGGCTTTGTTCAGCCTAAAGAGGAATTGCTTAAGATGGTGGATTTCAACTCCAAAGATGGTCTTTGCAAGGTGATATGTGTCGTTGGCATGGGCGGTTTAGGCAAGACAACTCTTGCAAGGAAGGCATATGAAAGTAAGGAAGACATTGTGAATAAATTTTCTTGCTGTGTATGGGTCACCGTCTCACAGTCCTTTTCCAAGATAGAGATGCTCAAGGACATGATTAGGCAACTTTTGGGTACCGACTCGATGAGGAAATGCTTGAAAGATCTTGAAGGGAAGGAAGTGCAAATAGAAAATCTCTCTGAGTATCTCACAAAAGAGTTAGTGGATAAGAGGTACTTCGTTGTTCTTGATGACTTGTGGACCATAGATGCGTGCAAGTGGATCAAAGATATTGCTTTTCCTAGTAGAAACAACAAAGGCAGCCGAATAATTGTAACAACACGAGATGTGGGCTTGGCTGAGCAATGCACTTCTGAATCGCTTATCTACCACCTTAAGCACTTGCAAGCAGAGGATGCCATAGATTTGCTACTAAGAAAGAGTAGAAAAACACATGACATGAAAAATGATAAGGAAAAGATGGCCGTGGTCAACAAAATAGTAAAGAAGTGTGGGGGTCTACCGTTGGCTGTACTCACTATAGGAGGCATGCTTTCCACCAAAAAGGTCACAGAGTGGGAAAGTATCTATAATCAAATCCCCTCAGAGCTCGAGATCAACCCTAGCCTTGAAGCAATGAGGAGGATAGTTACTCTAAGCTACAATCACTTGCCATCTCATCTCAAGTTATGCTTTTTGCATCTAAGCATCTTTCCTGAGGATCTTGAGATCAAAAGGAGACGTCTGATAGAGAGATGGATAGCAGAGGGGTTTGTTACAGCCACAGCTGGGGTGAGGATTGAGGATGTGGGAAAAGGTTACTTTGATGAGCTAGTCAATCGAACCATGATTCAGCCATCAAGAAGGAACATCGAAGGAATTGTTAAGAGCTGTCATGTCCATGATATCATGCGTGATGTCATGGTCTCAATTTCCCAACATGAAAGTCTCGTGTACTTGGCACAAGATGATGTAACTAGTGTCACAGAGGAGACCTTCCGACATGTAGCATACCATGGTGGCATGCACCAAAAGATAGGCATAGATTGGAGTCACGTCCGATCAGTAACTGTGTTTGGTGAGAGATCATTGGGTCAATCAGCTTCAGTTTGTTCACCTGACATGAGAATGCTCCGGGCCTTGGATCTAGAGAATGCACGGTTTCAAGTCACACGGAAGGATATCAGCAACATAGGATTACTGCGCCACTTGAAGTATGTGAATTTTTCTAATCCTCAAGGATGTTCATATATTTATAAACTTCCTAGATCCATAGGAAAATTACAAGGCTTGCGTAGTTTGAACATAAGAGACAATCACATTGCAGCACTACCAACTGTGATTAGTAAACTCAAGAGTTTACACAGTCTCCGTTGTACCAGAAGTAATTCATATGTATACTTTGACCTGAATGAACCCACGGCATGCTTGTTGAGCACATTTTGTTGGCCCATTTTTTTCACACCTGTGTATGATCCTAGTGAGCGAGCTGAGGTAGTTGCTGATCTACACATGGCCTGGTCTAGCCGTTGGTCTGAGTCAAGAGGTGTGACGGTGCCAAAAGGAATCGGCAAACTGAAAGAGCTGCAAATACTAGAGGTTGTGGACATCAGCCGAACTTGTTGCAAAGCAATTAAAGAGCTAGGTGAGCTTGTGCAGCTGAGAAAACTGAGCGTGGTAATACAAGGGGCCACCAAGCAAAAATGCAAGGTACTCGGTGATGCCATTCAGAAGCTCAGTTGCCTCTGCTCCCTTAAAGTGAATGGTTCACTCGACTGGCTGCATGCTGTTTCATCTCCTCCTCCCCTGTTGAGGAGCCTGAAGTTGGATGCATGCCTTGGAGAGGTTCCTGCCTGGGTTGGCAGTCGGACGCATTTGGTGAAGCTTTACATAAGGCACAGCGTAATAAATGAAGAAGGTAAAATCATGGAAATACTAGGGCCACTTCCCAACCTCATGCACCTTCATCTTGGAGGGGGCTCTTATATTGGGGAGAAGTTGGCGTTCAAAACAGGAGCATTCCCAATTCTCAAGAAACTTGAAATTACGTTTCTGGGTCAAGTGAGAGAGTTGAAATTCGAGGAGGGCACCTCACCCCAGCTCGCAATGATAGATATCAGTCGGTGCCATTTGGCATCAGGAATTATTGGAGTCAACCAGCTTCCAAAGCTCAAGGAGATCGCACTTGGTTCCGATGTTCGAGTGGCGAAGCTTGCTATGCTGCAAAGTGAAGTGGGTGCACATACCAACAGTCCCGTGCTGCGACTGTCCAAGGAACGGAGATACCACGACCTTGGGGGTGTCGTCGTCCAAGTAGAAGAAGCAACGGAGGAATCATCATCTATCCATCCCGAGCATGCAGCAACGGGAGAGAGCTCACGGTCCCAAGCGGTGGGCATAGCAACGGCGAACATCAGGTCAGCTCAGCTAATTGCTTCTCTTTGGTTCAACTAGTAGTACTCCCTCTGTCCGGAATTACTTGTCGCGGAAATAGATATGGATGTATCTAGAACTAAAATACATCTAGATACATCCATTTCTATGACAAGTATTTCAGGACGGAGGGAGTACGTAGCAGCTATGGAGTGTGATGTGCTAATTAATCTGTACTCTGTTTTCCTTTTTGTGTGTAACAGCCAAAACGATGTGCTTTATACTTACAACTCGTGCTGACTGAATCGAGGCAAGCCTCCTACCATGTAACACAACTGGTACAGCTCAAATTTTACACTATTTCCTTTTTTTGGTTTGGCTCGATTTCTAGGTGTCTTGGTCTCAGTCACATTGTATTCAGCTTGTGAACACACATGTTTTACACGTACATCTGTTTGTAGCAAAGACTTCCTGCTGACAGAGTTTCACATCTCAGGTTGTCGAAATAAGCTAGTGCTCTGTGTAGTGCATTCGGGTTCAGCTGGGCACCCAGGAGCACCACCAAGCTGCAGTAATTGATCATCCCATTGACCAAGCTGCAGTAATTCGGGAGCCAACTTCAATAGAGGCCAGATGGTTTCTCCATACGGCGGAACATCACATCACGGCGGTGTTTCCTTCTAAAAATCAGTATGAGTGGAGCAAGCAACGGAGGAATCATCTCCACTTCCATGGCCTACAGCAGCGGGAGAGAGCTCGTCGCAGGTGGTCATCCTCCTGTGAACCAAGAGCATTAAGGGGTCAGCTAACTTCTCTCTTCTGTTCATTCAGTAGTAGACGCTATTAAATGAGATTTTAATTTCGACGGTATGCATTTGTTTTCCTCAATCTTAATATAAAGGACACACAGATTGCGTGTTGTTGAAAAAAATTACACTTAATCTCTCTCTGTCTTGTAACAAGATGTTGTGTTGTAGGCGTACAATTCAGGCTGATGCTAGTAGCTGGTCGTTTCCCTGGCTCTGATCTTCATCTCTACCAAGCACTGGCCTCGGAGTATCCATCATGCCGCCGGTATAGCTTGCTCAGCTCCCCCTCTGTTTGTTTGTGAAATGTCGGTTACCGTTTGTCTATCAGAGGGGAGATGGAGTATTCAGTAGCTTGGCAACGCTAGCATTCTATTTCCAGCATGTTTTAGTATCTATGAGGGCACCAATTAAGCTGGAGTGAGTGAACATCCCAACCATATCCTGTTGTGAATGGACCAAGATTCGAGTACTGAACTGACTGTGATGTAGGGATCTGAAGTGAGGATGGAAACTGAGGGATCCCTTTCGAGTTCGCAATGGCTTGACAATCCATGCGGATCTGAAGTGTGTCACCTGTGAAGGGATCATACTGATAAATGGTCAGTTCAGCAACATCCAGCATCTCATTTATTTTGTAGAACTCGTGTTAGGTTGTTACATGCTCCGTTCTTCAGTTCCTGACAATGTTCATTACATGCTCTGTTCTCCCCTTTGTGACAGAGTTTGACTTCTAACATGCACGAATTGAACTAATGCTCTATATGTAATCTGATTTAGCAGGGCAGGAGAAGAGCAAGATCCAATAGAGTATGGATGATGCAGCATTAATCTGCAATGTTCATCCTACTATCCATAATTATAAAGATTCAGCTGGGCTGAAGAAGAGGCCGAATTGCTTCTCTGTGTTCTCTACTCTGTGTGCGGACTTTGTGGTAGGTTTATTTTTTTTTGTCACCTACATGTTAGACTCTTTAATTAATTAACTGACGCCATACAAAGAATCAGTGTCGATGACACTAACACCTGGGCAATTCTTCATGCAGAACTCTGACGTTTTAAACTCCGGCGACCTTGGAGCAAACTAGAACGTTATTTCCAGAGCTCCGACACGACCGATCAAGGGTTTAAAATTGACACCTGCTGGGTGGCCCAGGTCCCTTTCGTGGAAGGTGATCGGTTCTTCACCATGGAATTGATCAAGTTGATGTCAAATTTTATTTTCGTTTGGACTCCAACAGATTCCAGTCCACGGAGCATCAGGTGGCTGCATCTTGTACCATTCACCGGACCATCGCATGATCTGATCTATGTACACTTGTTCAATTTGTTATACTATGGTCTGTAATTCTTTGTAAATGAAGAATTAGGAGACATACAAGGCAATGGAACTCGTGAACTAGCCGGATATGGCTGCGCTCTGTTCCACATGTAACATCATATGAACATACCACCAGCTTTCTAGCTTTCGCTGGTTTCAGCTTGCAATAAAATTGCAGTTTCCACATTTCTCTTGTCAACGTTTTGATAGAATGGGGCTGGGTTCAGTAGCAAGTTGGTTGAGATTCAGTATGGGGTGATGCCAGGTCGGTCTGTACTGTACCCTTGGGGTCCTTCCGAGAGGCAATGGGGCTGTTACAAAATGATGGTGCTGTTACAAAATGTGTATTCCGCCCCCTGTTACAAACTGCTTTAAATATGCACAATTTTAATTTGTGTGTTCAGAAAACCCGAATTGACGTCGGTAATCAACTGAAACACTCGCTCTGGTGGTGGTGCTCACTGCTCGCGTATGCGGAGGAGCCGCTGGAGGTGACCAGATGCGTGATTGTGATGTTGTTCCTGGTGTCAGTCGCAGCGGTGCCACCCTCGATGCCTCGGCGAAGCTGCATTCTTGTTTGCTGACTTGCCTAGTGCTGCTGGTCCCGACACTGCTTGCATGAGAGCTTTGTTATTCTGGTTTGTGATTATCTTCCGATCCAACAGGAAAAAAAGGGTAGACAGAACAGTTTCTAGCTTATGATAATGCGATTATCACGCACCATGCCTGCAATATTGGTCACTGGTCAATTTCCTGCACTAACCAACAAAGCAGAGCAAACGAGAAAGAAGATTGAAACTAGAAAGCTACAATCATACTCATGGGCCGAATTGAGCCCATCAAAGTCAGCTATGATTCTACTCATTATGTGGATTAATTTGCACGTTGCATTCACCGACTTGAGCACAAATTAAACACCAATCCACCGGCGTCCATTGCGGGCATTCAGGGGCGTCTATTTACCAGTTAAAATTAAAAAGCGAATGATTCAAGGAAAATAAAATAAAAAACAACCGACTGACCCGGTCGGCCGGCCGATTGCTTCATTGGCCTGAGACTCTTAACAAATTCAAGTCAACTGTTACAAAGAATCGCTGCCTATCTCCTAGCTGCATGTTGTCGACAGCAATAGTCGAGCTGCCAAATGATTTAAATTAATGTGTTTAGATATATGCTCACACAAGAAGGCATGACATTTGTTATATGAAGATGTTTAGCTTACAAATTGGCATATATGCAACTTGCCCGTCGAGATGACATCAGCTGGTGATATTTTTGAAAACCTTTTTTTTAAGTTAGTAGATGCTTAGCTCATCGAGCTTGCACATCCTGACACACTTGAAATTAAACTGTAGATCACCATATTTAAATCATTTGATAGCTGTAATTGGATTAATTGAGCTCATTGTATTTGGTAGTAGATGTAATGTCTATCTGCGTAGCTGCCAACCCTTTTGTTATGTGCTGTTTATACGGAATTTGAGTTTGGATTGTCAAGGCGGCTGGCCGATGTTTTTGCCATCATACGAGCGGTGACCTGTGGGTGGATTTATTTTCGCCTTCCAAACATGAAATTAGGTCAGCATGAATAATCAAATAACCATGTGTCTGTAAGAACAACTTCTGCATTCTATTGATCAAAATGCATATTCGGTGGTACTGGCAAATTTGAATCTGCACAATTTAGAACAAGCATACTTGTCATTTACAACACGTAGATGCACGATGGATGAGTTAGTTGAGTTGAATACTTAGCAAACTACATCAGAGATGGCTGGGTGAATGGACGTTTGACATTCACATCCAGTAGCAAAAGCTAGGTATATATTTAGTGTTTTGTAACAGCAATTGATTATTCCTTTTTTTTAAAGGTCCAAAGGTGGGTATGAAGCCCATCTGGACTTTTGGGGAACATGGGGCAGATGGGATCACCACGACACTGGGAAGCTCTGCGTCCAGGCCATCAAAATAACTTAATTGATTGAAGAAGAGCATATCCAGCGCCACAACAGCATGTCGGTGGTGATGATTTGCCTGACAACGGAAGGGAGAGGTTCATTGTGGCTGTTTCCAATGTCTCACAGGATGTCGATGACTGCCAAAGGGTGCGAGCGGGAGTAACGGCAAGCTCTCGAAGCGACATCATGCATGGGGCGCTCCCTTTTGGGAGGAGCACACATTTTAGGGTGTGTTGTATTTGGGTTTCTGTCTGCTGGATTTTTCTGGTTTCTTTCATGATTCACCGTTTTTGTGAACACTTGTCACTGTATAGTTGTTCTCAATATTAGTTAATGGATATGTTCATGCATACAATACTAGAATATGGTAAAAGATTTGAATAACCAACTCAATATCTCAAATACACATAGGGTGCTCAGGGTTGAGCCCAAGTGATCACTTGTATTCAATTTCTCATGAACTACATCGTAAATTTACACACAAATAGTTCCTTCCACATGTTTCTTTACGATGTTCCCCTTAATGAATCCGATCAGACAAAGAAGCACCTCATATCATGTTGTGGTGACGTTCACTGTATCACTGGCGTCGGAATTGGTATTCTCATTGCTACTACTTTGGTCTTTCCTATGGTAGAAGACTGACATTGTTGCATAGACTGCAATGTAGGCCAGCACTGGGATGATGAGAAGGATGACGTTTCTGGAGGTTTCCCACTTTCTATTACTGCCAGCTGCATAGGCCACAAGGAGGCTAAACATATCCAGCAGAATGGCCGTATGCATCGGCCAAAGTGGCAGATTGTGATTGTGAAATGTCGTCAATGGAAGCAGCATGACGACAACCACGATCGAGGCCATGAAGGAAGTGGAGTTGCTGTAAAAGAAAGCATGGTACCGGTGCTTGTTAATGTCGTGGAGGATGGGGTTGCCAGCAGAGTGTCCATTGTCGTTGTCTTGCCACAGGCCGCCTGGTGGTTTTAAACCAGTCTGGTATGTCATACTTGCAGCCAGGATTCCTAGCAACATCAAGTATTCAAGCATATATTTCTCTTTGTTGCTGTTATCATCTGCTTGTCCATCTTCAGCTTGTCTGAGTTGCCTATCTGGTAGATCAGCTTGTTGTGAGTCAGCTTGGTTATGACGGATGATCCAGAAAATTGCTACCTGTGAGGCTATGAAGGCTAACACTGCACCAACCAAGGTTAATACATAGAGGGAGGTCTTGAGATGGCGCGAGCTTCCAGCAGCATAGGCACCCATAAGGCCAAACATGCCAACAACCATGCACAGATAGAGCGCATAACAACGTATGCCTGGCCTATATAGCTTCGGATTTACGAGAAGAAGGATTAGGGTTACGGATGCCATGAAGCTCAATGAGTTGCAGTAGAAGAATGCTTCGTAACGTCGAGGGTAATTGTCGAGGAGTACCGGGAAGCCCGAACGACGTCCGAGCCCCTCATCATCTGATGACCAGAAGCCACCAGGTGGAGTGAGACCTGCCTGGTACGTGAGAGTAGCAGCCAAGATGGCAGCCAGAAGTAGCAACTTGCGCTTGCTATCCAAATCTTTCACCGTGGCATCATCTGCCGGCTCAGGATCATGGTCTCTTATGGTGATATGGACAATGACGTAGACGAGGACAAGCCCCGCCAAGGCAACAATGTAGA